TGGAAAATGTTTCCCCCAAAAAAACAAAACAAAAAAACAATTTTGTTGTTGTTGTTAAAAACTATTTATTATAAGTTTAATATCTATATTATTATTTTTTTTTTTTGATTGATATAATTTTACCACAAAAAAACAAAACAAACAAAAAAGTTAGATATATAACTTAAAAAAATAGATGTCACATAGTTTTTTATTATATAATAATTATATAATATATATATTTTGATACAATTTTCATACAGTTTTAAATATGTTGCATTTATATATATATTTTTATTTAAAAAAAACAATAAGTGTTTTATTTGTATATATATATATATATATATACAGTACAGTTAGTACTATTAACTAAAAAACAGTTTATCTAAAAAAATAATTATCAATATTAATACAAACTATATAAATACTTATTAATATAAATACAAATTCACACAAACAAAAAAAWACATATTGTTTTTCAAAATTAATAACAGCATAAATACACACTGAATCTCATTTAAATATATTTATATTTATTTATATAATGAATATAACTTTTTGTCTCTAATTTTTTCTAATAATACTCTTAACATTTCCTGAAAATTATATTTGYTTTGATTATAAATATTATCATTATTAGTAGTATTTTTATGTAGCTTATATATATATATGCCAATTATACAAATATATATATATATATTTAAATAATTGGCACAGAATATCATTATATATTTATAATCCCTCCCCCATCYCACTCCCCCTCATTGGGATAGATTTGTGTTACAATATTTTAAATATCATATATATATATATAAATACTTTAAATAACAKTATATAAATTATGTAAACTAATAGTCAATTACTATAAGTAATTGACAATAATTGTGTAAAACACATTATTATTATTATTATTTTCAAATATATATTTTTCATAKCATTATTATTATACTGTATATGTAGTGTATGTATAATTTTATAATAATAATAATTTATATAAATAATATTATTTTTWAACAAAAAATTAATAAAAAGAAATTTATTAATATATAATAAAACATTTAATTATTATTATTATTATTATTATTATTTAATATTAGATAATTTCATTGATTTATGTTTTTTTTATTAACTTTTATTACTTAGTATTGTCTTCAGGTTTTATCAGATAAGTTAAGTCCATCCAAATGAATATATAGATTGGAATCAATGTAAAAGCACCGGCCGTTTGAAAGCACAGGGATGGATACCAGTCGATGGTATACTSGAACAGTGTATTACTGTACAGTGACTGYAGTGTAGGWAYAATGGCYTCCAGTGCACCCAACAAACAAAATACACGACCCGATTCSCGATCGGTAGCTATTTTCGACAGCAGGGCCCGTATGGCAACCGAGCTTATGTTGGCAATACTGGCCGCACCGTACATCAGATACAAACCGATTGGCGATCGGATACAMGARCCGACTAACATATCCGATGCGAATATCGATACGAGACCAATGATACCCATTTTTGTGTCGCTTARCTGRAAATAGGTGGACAGTATCGGTACTGTTACGGCCATTATRATGATCTGACCGATTTCGGCTACCGATCGTACATARCTATAGGTTTGGGCATCGAAACCGAACTGACGTTCCGTATAGGGAAACAATACACTAAAGGCTTTAATGTCGGACATAATAACAATACACATACAGAAAAACAATAACCATAAGTAGGTGCGACCTYTGTTAGGGCGGGGTTTTAGGGCTGTCCGCACTACTTGGCGTAGATTTTCTACGTCAAACATGTATCTAAAACGAAATTTATTGCTATGAACTATATGTCCCACACATTTAGCTGAYGATAGTTCCTCATCATCTGATGATGACTTGTTGTTGTCGATGATATTGTTGCCGTTGATATCGGCGRTCGGTTTGTTTTCGATGACATTCCTCTGTGATTTCTCATTGATGACAACCGTTACCCAAATAAAAGCCATCAGTGATGTGCCRATACTAACGGCAAACACCCACTTATAGTTATGTATTTGATTGTTGGCGCCGGCATCAGGATTGCCATTGCCYAACAGTAAGCCGCCCAGGTAKGTGCCCAATGGACCGGCTAGTTCAAAAAATAACCGTATAGCTAATTGAGTATGTTTAATGGACATGGGGTAAGTGGTTGGTTGGGTGGTTATACCTATAAAAACTGCCAGCTCATACACGGCAAACTTGATGAACCGATACTTTTCGATAGTATTGTTAGTCATATAACTGTAAGCGGTTAGCCAAACACAGGGCCAACCACCAAACATGGCTACCGGTATGTATGATAATAGCATGTAATGATGGTCTACAATATTGATTGATATATAAAGATATTGGATATACAATACTAATTGAATAAACAATAGTTATTTTTTGATTGTTGCTATTAATTATAATAATAAAATTTATATATATATAATTAATTATTAACGTTTAATAAAAATAATATTTGATATAAAATATACTAAAAACTATATGAAATGTTTATTTTGCTAAAAGTTAAATATATTTTTTTAGAAACAATAATTATTATTACAATATTAGTATTAATAGATAGTTTAATTTAGACTAAAACTTAAATAAATAAAACTAAAATAATAATTATAAATTTAAATTATTCAATCATAAGTAAAACTAAGCTTGCTTACCCCAGTGAAATTTAATAGCCATCAACAATTGCAGGGAATACCARCACCCATAGCCAAACATACCTAACATTAAGATCAGTTTGCGGGCGTGAATATAACTGTCGAGAAACGGACCAATAAATAGCAGATAGAAAAAGGCWGGCAATGTTCCCATAATAGTCGTATAGATTGAAAACTGGGCCAAATCGGCCAGTATATGGCTACGGGTACCGTCATCAACATCATCAATAGCACCGGTATCATCATCACCGCCACTGGATGTACTAATTTTGACACAATAATCCTGAGACCGATGATATTTGTTGACACATATCTTATCCTGGATCAGCTGTGTGGTAGTCAAATTGGATACAGTAGTACTCAATACAAACAGAAATATAAACGGCTCGATCTTCAGCGACCGGATCACTATCCAAGCTATTGTCCATTTGTCGCTCAGCCAACTGTTGGCCGAACCCATCGATAGTTTGTTTGTTTTTTATTTAAGTAATTATATATAAAATTATTTTTAATTATTAAAAGTTAAGATAAACCGAAAAAATTTAATAAAAATTTAACTTAATTAACATGTAATTATWGTTTAAATTAATAAATAATTTTTTTTAATTTTTAATTATCAACAATATTTAAGCAAAATTTATACAAAATTAATACATAAATAAAAAATAATTAATATATATAAGTTTTTTTGTTTAATAATTTAATTCAATTTAATTATACAAGTATAATTTGTGTAATAAAAATTATTGTATAAATTTTTTTTAAATAAAAATTTTATTTTTTTTATCAAAATTTATTAATTTATTTCTAAGTTTATGTGTGTGTTTCCATTGATAAAATATAACAAACTTAAGTAAAATTAGTTTGAAATTAATTAATTAATTTTTAATCCTATTTAATACTTTATTTGAAACAGATTTATTAATAATAATACAATAATAACAATGTTTATTAGTTATCTGTTATAAATAAAAATACATTACATGTAGCAAACTTTTTAACAAACTTTTTTTAATTATTATAGTTATAGATAGATAATCAAGGTTATCAAAAAAAAAATAATACTTTATATACCAGTATAACAAATAATAATTATTTTGTTTAATTAAGTTTTATTGTACTTGTGTTCAATTATACTTTATCTATATAAAGTTTTAAAAACTATAACACACACAAAAATAATGTTACTTTAATTTTAAAAATACATTAATATAATAATAAATTGATAAGCTAGTACTGTACATGTTAATTGAAATTAATTATAATCAATGTAAGTTTAATAATAATTTGATTGTATAATATTAGTTTGATTGTACCTATATTAAAATGTACTTATTATTGTATTGTTTAGATTATTATTTATTTGTCAATAATTTTAATTTAGTTTTTAATAAATGTATAAATAATAAAAACTAATTTTAATATAGTATATAAAAAATAATAATAATTTTATTACCACAATAACTATGATTAATAAATAAGTATTAATTAGATGTTTAGTTTTGTTATTTATTATTGTTTTTAATTATTATTTTTTTTTAGTTTTTTTCAGATTAGTTTATAAACTATTTAATATTTGTTAACTAATATGGAGAAAACTTTTTTAAAACTCTATAAATAATAGTTAATACAAAAAATAATTAATTAATTATATATAAAATTATTTAAAAATTAAAAAATTATTATTGTTAAAATACTTAAGTGTACAATTTTAATTTTGTAATTACTTATTTAATTTAATTATTTAATTACTTTATATATGTAAAGTATTATAAAAATTAATGGATAGATTTTTTATTGATTATATGTCCATATTTTAGGTCAATCCAGAGGAAAATGATTAGTGGTATACATGTCAAGGAACTGATTAACAAAAATACTAGACTAGGAAACCAACTGATTGTATAACGAAAGACTATATTATACAACAATGTATTAACTGTAGGCATAATTGTTTCGAGTGCAGCCAATAGACTGAAAACTTTACCCGATTCGGCTTCGGTAGCCAATTTTGATAACGGTGATCGTATGCCTATTGAAATCAGACAGCTGGCACTGCCAATAGCGTACATTATATACAGTCCCACTGGACTGTTAATCAATCCGATTGATAGACCGGCCAAAATGTTGGACAGGAATCCCAAAGCAGCTAATCGGGTATCGTTGACCTTAAGCACGCCTGACATCAGAAAAGCTATCGGTGCCATCAATAGGATCAATGCAAAGGCTGCTATTGACTTAACATTACTAAACTGTTGGGCATCCCAGTGGTAAACTTTTTCAACATATGGAAACAGCACCTGTAAGTGGCCTACAGTTGACGATACATGCATACACATACACAAATAGAGAAGCCATATCAGCGTACGGCCGTTGTTTGGCCTCTGTTTGAATGCTGTGGCAAACATATCGCCGACATTGTTCAGATCAAACATTTTCGATAACGAAAATTTKGTGTCCATTTTATGTGGCGGCGGTGACGGTGGCGGCGCCAGAGACGACAGTTTTTGTATTACTATTTTCTTTGACTTATTATTATTCTCATAGGTTTCCTCATCGGTTTCATCGTGAAAATCACTGTCCATTAGTGGCCCATTTTCATCKATGACAGAGTTAACRGTGTCTCCGCCATCGCCACATCCATCTCCGTCGTTGTTGATGAGCTGATACCCAACTTCGACACTGTTTTCGTTGATTACTAGCAAAACCCATAGAAACCCGACAACAATTGCAACCAAACAAGTCGTATAGACATGACTATAGTTGCGCAGTTGCTGGCCATTGATTGCCTGATGATTACCTTTGCCCAGTAGTCGACCGCCCAAATAGGTGCCCAATGGATCAGCTAAAAGTAATAGTAAATAAGTTAATCAAATAAAATACAATCTCTTGTCAGTGGACATACCTGTAGTGACAGCCACTTCATAGGCAAGAAATTTGATAAATCTGTACTCATTTGACGAATTGTTAGACATATAGCTGTAACAGATTAGCACTACTGTAGGCCAACCGCCAGATAGGGCACTGGGTATGTATGACAATAATATATAATAGATATCTAAATAAATTATATATTATATTTTCATATTATTTTTTTGATGTTTTTCATACATACCTAAATCAAAATATATTGAATTGAACAGTAGGCCAGCAAACATTCCGATATAGCTCAGACTGCTCAATAGTAGTACCAGTTTGCGGCCATGGACATAGCTATCAGTCCAGGAGCCGATAAACAGTACATAAAAAAAGGCCGGCAATGTCGATATATTAACGGTATAGATATTGAATCGGGCCAGGTCACCCAATATGCTATCTTTGATGGCAACGACAACACTGGTTGCATTGATCGCCTGAGCACCGGTAGCTGTTGTTGTTGTTGTCACTTTGCTAATGTCGACACAATAGTCAACTGACTGGTTATACCGATTCAGACATATTTTGTCCTGAATTAACTGATTGGTTGTAATTTCCGATAGATTACAACTAAGCATATATAGAAATATGAACGGTTCAATTTTGAGGGAGTTTACTATTAACCAAAATGTTGTCCAGGTCCATTTTGATGATGAATTATTAATTTGTGCATGTTTATTTATAAATTTATTATTATTATTATTATTATTAGAATTTATTTTGTTTTCATAAATTGTCATTTTAAAAAATTTTTATTTTAAATATTTATATTTACATTATACTTTAATTAATAATCCAAATATGTTATATTAATTTTATTATTTCACAATATTAACAACATTACTGTATATTTATTTATAGTGTATATAATTTGTTGTAATTAATATAATTTTTTTTATTAATAAAAATTATTAATACATATACATTTTTGAACAACAAAAATGCTTAAGTCATTGAAAATCTCAATATACTAATAATTTTTTGCTGATTAAAATATTATTAACTAATTGCTTAGTACAACAAATTTTAAATAAAACAATTTAATCACAATTTTATTTTTTTTAACTATTGATTAGTTTAGTTTATTTATAAAAATATTTATACTATTATACATTATGTATTATCAAAATAATGGGAAGATTTTATTATTGATTAGATGTCTATATTTTAGGTCAATCCATAGGATAATGATTAGTGGTATACAAGTCAAGGAACTGATTAACAAAAATACTAGACTAGGAAACCAACTGATTGTATAACTAAAGACTAGATTATACAACAGTGTATTAACTGTCGGCATAATTGTTTCGAGTGCAGCCAATAGACTGAAAACTTTACCCGATTCGGCTTCGGTAACCAATTTTGATAACAATGATCGGATGCCTATCCAACACAGACAACTGGCACCGCCAATAGCGTACATAATATACAGTCCCAATGGACTATTAATCAATCCGATTGATAGACCGGCCAAAATGTTGGACAGGAATCCCAAAGCAGCTAATCGGGTATCGTTGACCATAAGTACGCCTGACATTAGAAAAGCTATCGGTTTCATCAGTAGGATCAATGCCAAGGCTGCTATTGACTTAACATTACTAAACTGTTGGACATCCCAGTGGTAAACTTTTTCAACATAGGAAACAGCACATGTATGTCAAGTACAGTTGACGATACATGCATACACATACACAAATAGAGAAGCCATATCAGCGTACGGCCGTTGTTTGGCCTCAGTTTGACTGCTGTGGTCAACATATCGCCGACATTTTTCAGATCAAACATTTTTGATAACGAAAATTTGGTGTCCATTTTGCGCGGCGACGGCTGCGGCGTTAGTAGAGACGACCGTTTCTGTATTACTATTGTCTCTGACTTATTATTATTATTATCATCCCTTTCCTTTTCTCCCACCTCCTCGTCCTCATCGCAAAAATCACTGTCCATTAGTGACTCTTTTTCATCGTTGACAGTGTCGGCACCGCCACCACCGTTGTTGTTGTTGTCATTGTTGATGATAAGCTGATAGCCGACTTCTGGAGTATTTTCGTTGATTACTAGCAAAACCCATAGAAACCCGACTACAATTGCAACCAAACAGGTCGTATAGACATGACTATAGTTGTGCAGTTGTTGGCCACTAATTGGCTGATGATTACCTTTGCCCAGTAGTCGACCGCCCAAATAGGTGCCCAATGGATCAGCTAAACGGGTTTCAATCAAACAAATTATAAATTAATTTTTATTGGTTTCAAATGTGATTCAATTGTTTAAATGTCATTTTTATTGTATATTTAAAAATATATTTAAATGACATAATTTACAATTAATACAATTGTGTCTTAACTTATAATTTAATGACAATTAGTTATAATATTTTGTAATCAAAATAATGCTTTACTAAAAAAAATTAAATGCTAAAAGATAGAAATAAATTGAATAAAAGTATTCTTTAATTAATTAATTACATTAAATTAATGATTAAATAAAAATTAATTTTCACTCCTACTCTATCATAAGTTATTATTTAATATATTATTATAAATTAAATCTATTAGTATTTTATTAGTATTTAATACAGTATTAAATAATAAAAAAATAAAAGTGGTTAAATATTGTTTTAAATGTAGAAAAAATTCTAAACTATAATATATGTATAATATTTGTTCAAAAAAATTGTCCGGTTTTTATTAAAATATGGGTTGGCAATCCTATATGTATATAATAATAATAATAATAATCGACACTCTCTTGTTAGTTGACATACCTGTAGTCACCGCCACTTCATAGGCAAGAAATTTGATAAATCTGTACTCATTTGACGAATTGTTAGACATATAGCTATAACAGATTAGTACTACTGTAGGCCAACCGCCAGATAGGGCACTGGGTATGTATGACAATAGTATATAATAGACATCTAAATAAATAGTATTATATTTTTATATTATTTGTAAAAATTATATGTTTGTCATATATATAAAATCAGGGACAAAATAGGCGGAACTAATATTTTTATTATATCTCAAAAACTAAAAGACCTAGGACAAAGATATTTAATAAACAACTATGGTTTCTTGGAACGTACAAAATGGTGAGACCAAATTTTTTATAAAATTACTAAAATAGAAATGATAAAAATATATAATATCTCAGAATCTATAATAGATAATGAAAATCTATAAAATGTATTATTAAACTAGATAAAAAATAATTTGATACGTGTTTCAGTAATTTTAAAAAAATAATTAATAAAGTTAGTATCAATTTTTGAAAGAGAAAAGTAATATATTATTTGTAAAATATTATATTATATTTTTTTATTTAATTAAAGTAGTTTATTTTTTTCTTTCAAAAATTTATATAAACTTATATACATGTCAAGTTATATTTTATCTAGTTTATTATACATTTAATAGACTATCATTATCTACTATAGATTTTATGTTATTATATTATTTTGATCATTTCTATCTTAGAAATTTTATAAAAAATTTGGTCACACTATTTTGTAAGTTCCATGTATGACAATAGTATATAATAGACATCTAAATAAATTATGTATTATATTTTTATATTATTTGTAAAAATTATATTTTTGTCATATATATACTTAAATCAAAATATATTGAATTGACAAGTAGTCCAGCAAACATTGCGATATAGCCCAGACTGCTAAATAGTAGTACCAGTTTGCGGCCATGGACATAGCTATCGGTCCAGGAACTGATAAACAGTACATATAAAAAGGCCGGTAATGTCGATATATTAACGGTATAGATATTGAATCTGGCCAGGTCTCCCAATATGCTGTCTTTGATTGTAACAACAACATTTGTGACATTGATCGCATGAGCACCGGTAGTTGTTGTTGGTGTTGTCACTTTGCTAATGTYRAYACAATAGTCAACTGACTGGTTGTACCGATTCAGACATATTTTGTCCTGAATTAACTGATTGGTTGTAATTTCCGATAGACTACAACTTAGTATATATAGAAATACGAACGGTTCAATTTTTAGGAATTTACTATTAACCAAAATGTTGTCCAGGTMCATTTTGATGATAAACTATTAATTTGAGYATGTTTATTTTTATATTTATAGTTATTATTATTAKTAYTAYTATTTGAATTTAAGTTGTTTTCACAAATAGTCATTTTTGTAATTTTAAATTTAAATATTTACATTTACATTTACTGTWAMTATTAAATCCAAATATGTTATTAATTTTATTACACAACAACATCACTATATATTTATTAATATATAATTTTAGTTTAGTTTTATAGATAGTATGTTTTTATTGTTTGGATAGTGACCACCCGGTACTGATGATGACAACAACACCCGTAGCCGTATACCGGCCGATATAAAGCATAACTGTATTGGTATGTCTCCTTAACCCCCCCTCCCCCGCCTGATAGTGGCTATCTATTATCGGTTAAACTAATCAATAGTTCAAAARTGCTTTAATTAWTTTTCCATCAATGTTTTATTTTATATTTTATTTATAAACGTTTTAAATTTTGGTTTAGAGTTTTTTTTTAAAAATATCTAAATTATAAAATATTAATTAAAACAAATATATTTTTTGCGACAATTTTTTTATTATAATTTAAATTGTTAATTAATTTAGTGATATCATTATTATCATATTATTATTATTATTATTATTATTAAAATACACATTGTATTATACACTTTAATTAAATYAATTAATTTARTCACWATTTTATTTTATTTTTTTAACTATTGATTAGTTTTGTTTATTTATAAAAAATATTTATTCTATTATATTATACATTAATGGGAAGATTTTTTATTGATTWGATGTCCATATTTTAGGTCAATCCATATGAAAATGGTTAGTGGTATACAAGTCAATGAACTGATTAACAAAAATACTAGACTAGGAAACCAACTGATTGTATAACGAAAGACTAGATTATACAACARTGTATTAACTGTAGGCATAATTGTTTCCAATGCAGCCAATAGACTGAAAACTTTACCCGATTCAGCTTCGGTAGCCAATTTTGATAACAATGATCGGATGCCTATCCAACACAAACAACTGGCACCGCCAATAGCGTACATAATATACAGTCCCACTGGACTGCTAATCAATCCGATTGATAGACCGGCCAACATATTGGACAGGAATCCCAAAGCGGCTAATCGGGTATCGTTGACCTTAAGCACGCCTGACATCAGAAAAGCTATCGGTGCCAACAGTATGATCAATGCMAAGGCTGCTATCGACTTAACATTACTAAAYTGTTGGGCATCCCAGTGATAGACCTTTTCTACGTAGGGAAAMAGCACCTGTATGTCGCGTACTGTTGAYGATACTGTCATACACATACACCCATAGAGAAGCCATATCAGTGTACGGCCATTGTTTGGCCGCTGTTTGAATGCTGTGGTCAACATATCGCCGACATTTTTCAGATCAAACATTTTCGATAACGAAAATTTAGTGTCCATTTGTCGCGTTGGCGGCTGAATAGACTTCAGTTCCTCGATTGCTATKSTMTTTGACTTATTATTATCATCCCTTTCCTCCAATTCYACCTCCTCGTCCTCATCGCAAAAATCACTGTCCATTAGTGGCTCTGAWTCATTGWTGACAGTGTTAACAGTGTCTCCGAYGCCGACACTGTCACCATTGTTGATGAGCTGATAGCCGACTTCGGCAGTGTTTTCGTTGATTACTAGCARAACCCATAGAAACGCTAAGACAGTTGCAACCAAACAGGTTGTATAGACATGACTATAGTTGTGCAGTTGGCCATCAATTGCCTGATGATTACCTGAGCCAAGTAGTAGACCGCCTATATAGGTACCCAATGGGTCAGCTAATAAAAAAAAYGGATAATAATTAMTAWKATTATTATTWACTATTAGATTATTGTTTTATAGTAGACATACATGCAGTGACCACCACTTCGTAGGCAAGAAATTTGATAAACCGATACTCATTTGACGAGTTGTTAGCCATATAACTGTAACAGATTAGCCATACGGTAGGCCAACCGCCCGATAGGGCACTGGGTATGTATGACAATAGTATATAATAGACATCTATATATAAWAACAATAGTATTATATTTTYATATTATTTTCATATAAAKTATATACTTAAGTCAAAATATAATGAATTGAACAGTAGGCCAGCAAACAATCCGATATAGCCCAGACTGATCACTAGTAGTACCAGTTTGCGGCCATGGACATAGCTATCGGTCCAGGAGCCGATAAACAGTACATACAAAAATGCCGGCAGTGTTGATATATTAACAATATAGATATTGAATTGGGCCAGGTCGCCCAATATACTGTCCTTGATGGCAACAACAYTGGTGAMATTAWTGACTGACTGGGCACCGGTAGCTGTTGTTGTTGGTGTTGTAACTTTGCTAATGTCGACACAATAGTCAACTGACTGGTTRTAYYGATTCAGACATATTTTATCCTGAATTAACTGATTGGTTGTAATATCCGATAGACTACAACTAAGCATATATAGAAATATGAACGGTTCAATTTTTAGCGAGTTTATTATTAGCCAAAATGTTGTCCAGGTCCATTTTGATGATGAWYTWTTAATTTGTGCATGTTTATTATTTATAAATTTATTATTATTATTATTATTAGAWTTGATGTTGTTTTCACAAATAGTCATTTTAAAAAAAATTTATTTTAAATATTTATATTTACATTATACTGTAATTAATAWAACCAAATATGTTATATTAATTTYATTACACAAYATTAAYAACATTACTGTATATTTATTTATAGTGTAAATTATAWATAATTTTTTTATTAATAAAAATTATTAAATACATATACATTTATTTCAACAACAACAAAAATTGCTTAATTWAGTTAAATATCAATAAACTACTAATTTTTTMAATTAATTTTTTGCTGATTATATAAACTAATTGCTTATTACAACAATTTTTTTCACTTTTATTAATTTGTAATCCAATTATTAAATTATTAATAACATGTTTATAATTATAACAACAATATTATATATAATATTTATTTWAAAATAAAATTAATTTCAATGTAAAGTATACWCAGTACTGTACAATATTAATATTAAACTATTATTAAATTTTKTATATTAAATTACTTACAATATTATTTTTTGAATAAAATTTTTTATTAAAAAAAATTTTTCGATGAATAATCAAAAAAATGTTATAATAATCAAAAATCAGATAATTATAATAATGATAATGATTTTATTAATGACATTGAAAAATATATTTTTTTACTAAAWTTTTTTTTATCACAATTACAACTAAAGCAATAGAAATAAAAACATTTAAATAGTTTTGTTTGTYTGTATTATATTTAGACATTTATTCAGGTGTATAAAAATATTTTTATATATATTTGTAAAATTAATTAAAAATACATGTATAATAAGCACGTTTTGTGATAACAYAATTATAAAAATAAATATTTTATTCATCAATTTTATTATTCATAAAAGTTATTATTAATTAAAACATACGAAAAAAAWTCATAATAATAATTATTAWTAATAATTATTAATAATATAAAACAATGYAAAAATAAATAAGYAATTTTTATTGTTGTCTTATATRTACTGTATTTGTTGTCAAATATATATTAATTAAATACATRTATATTACACAGCAAATTGAGTCAAATAAATTAATTGTATATTTAATTTACATTATTATTGATATAATTTCTATTATAGTATAAAATACAAAMAAACAAAAAATTATAAGTTATAAATATATAATATATCACTGTATATATTGATTAAAATAAATAAATATATAATAATAATAAAAATTTATTTTTTTTAAATCTAATTATTGAGCTCTACTTAATACAGTTGAATAACTATGATATAAGGATATGGGCGKAACCTCCTGTAGTAGTAGTAGTAGTGAATGATACCAGGGATATGTAATACAGGATATAAGCCTTATATTATAAGGTATTTATTGATAAAACACAAGGACAGGGATATACAGTATATTTATATAAATATTAATATAATATAAATAAAAAGTATTTTTTTAGTTTGTTTATATTGTATTYACAAATATATATATATAATCAATTGACTTATATTGTATTATGAGATAATTATTAATATAATATTTCACAACTAATTAGTTATATATATATATATTTGTTGTTTCTATTCAATAAGTTTTGATATATTTTTTAAATTAAATAATATATATACTAATAAATGTTAAATGTTTTTTTAGTAATTAATAATTAATTAGCAAATTATTATATTAAATTAGTTAAAAAAAAGTATGATTGAAAAATTTGTAAAATAAAAAATGTATAAAATAATACAAACAAAAGTCAAATAAATAAATAACTATTACAATACTGTATAAATAAAAATGAAAATGCTATTGTTTAAAATCGTACAAAAACTTAAACTTGTAGATTATACTAATTTTTATTTAAATTATAATTCAATAGTAAAATTTAATAGTAAATTTGTAATTAAAAAATTAAATTTTCAGACTATATATAAAATAAAAAAAATAAAGATTAATATATTGCTAAATCTTTAAGTTTTATAATAAATAAATTTATAATATAATAGTGTGACTTATAYTATGAGATAAATATAAATATTTCGCAATTAATCAGTTGTTTGTATTGAATTTAAGTCTATATTTTTATTTTGTAAACATTTGATAATTTAATAAGTTTTGATATTTTCATTATTTTTAAATAATTTATATATATATCTATATATAAATATACAAATAAATATAAATAAATTTTATTTATTTTAGTAATTAATAATAAATTATCAAAGAGTTATATTAAATATTWTWTTATAAAAATTATTAAATAATGTTATMAAAATTATATTAATAAAATAATAGGTATTATATTAGGCTAAATATTGTATAAATATATAAAATATATATATATATATATATATAATCACAGATACAGATGATTATAATTAATATCAATCCATATAAATATGATTAACGGGACAAACACTAGAGCACCGGCWATATGAAAGACTAGACTCGGATACCAACCGATTGTGTAYTGAAATATAAAGTTATAGACTAAYGACTGGACGGCCGGCATAACTGTTTCGAAAACTGTCGAYACACTRAATATTTTACCCGATTCGGCTTCCGATGCTATTTTCGAYAACAATGATCGTATGGCTACAGTAGCCAAACCCGATGCCGAACCAGTAGCATAGGCAACATATAGGCCCAGTGGACTGGTAGTTATAGTRCCGACGGCAATGCACGACAATAGYAACGATAGAAAACTAATTAAACCGACTTTCGTATCGCTTAGTTTCAGTYTACCCGACAATAGATAGCCACTCGGGGCCATAGCTATTGCCAATACGGYWATCGATAKCGATTTGATTGTACTAAACTGTCGKGAGTCCCAGTGATAGACTTTTTCCACATACGGAAACAGTACGTCCAACTGGTTGATAGCCGACAATACTATYACCGACTGYGACAGATATAGCAACCAGATCTGTTGGCAGCCGTTATTTGGCCGCCATTTGACGGCCGCGGCAAACATATCGCAAACATTGTTGATGTCAAACATTTGCACAATTGAAAACCGACTGTCCATTGATGATGACGATGATGGCTGGTTAGCGGCGGCGGAGGCGGCGGACAGTTGTTTATCRCAACAATTAGYTGATGTCGTCATCAGACTATCGCTTCKTTGGCGACGACGAGAACTGTTGATACCACSAATCAGTGATTGTCGCTCAGCATTATTATCGTTGTCTGCAAACACTATGTTAGCATTTTCATCATCAGCATCGACATCACTRTCRTTGKMTGATATYTGTTGTTCATTGACCAGTAATAGTAGCCAAACAAATGCCACACCGATTATTGCCAAACAAGTTATATAAACTGTACTATAATTRTRTAGTTCATTGTCGGTCGGCAGTAGATTACCGCTGCCCAACAGYTGACCGCCCAAATAGATGCCCAACGGGTTGGCTAGAATTAGGTATTTAAAAAACATAYATAAGCTAGAATTAGGTATTTTAAACATRCATAAGCTAGAATTAGGTATTTAAACATACATAAGCTAGAATTAGGTATTTAAACATACATAAGCTAGAATTAGGTATTTTAAACATGCATAAGCTAGAATTAGCTATTTAAACATACATAAGCTAGAATTAGGTATTTAAACATACATAAGCTAGAATTAGGTATTTAAACATACATAAGCTAGAATTAGGTATTTTTTTAAAAACATACATAAGCTAGAATTAGGTATTTTAAACATAAATAAGTTAAATTAGGTATTTTTTAAAAAACATACATAAACTAGAATTAGGTATTTTTAAAAACATACATAAGCTAGAATTAGGCAATTTAAACATGCATAAGCTAAGTTAGATATTGTTTTTTTTGAAACATAATTAATTAATTTTTGTTAAAAATWAATTTTAAAAAAATATACCTGAMGTGTGGGCAATTTCAAACATCATAAACTTGATAAACCGATACTCCCGGGGCGTATTGTTGGCCARATAGCTATAGCACATTAGTATAACGGTTGTCCAGCCGCCAAATAGTGCACTGGGTATGTACCATAATAATAGATAATATATATCTGTATAAATATTGGGATAAAAAAAATAAATAAATAAACAATATTTTTTGTGTGTATTTTTATACTGATTAATAATTGGGTAAAAGTATGRACTTTATAACTATTGATAAATAAATGATTATAATCTAATAAAATACTAATTTAATAAAAAAAAGTTATAAATTAATTTTTTTTTAAAAATTATGTATAATTTATATTAAATAATAATAAAAAAATWTATATATACTTATATCGAAAAATATTGCATTAACTAGAAATCCTGARTACARTATAATAAAGCCGACGGTAACCAGCGATAGGACTATTTTGCGGCCRTGTATATAGCGGTCGGTCCACGAACCGACAAACAGGACATAGACAATGCCGGCAGTGACGATATGACTGTACTGTAGGTAATCAATTGGGACAGTTGGGTCAGTATCTGGTCGCGTATCAACAATTCATGTGCAYTGGCAATAGTAGTAATAGCACCCCATCAGCACCGGTACTTATTGCTTTTAATTTGCTAATACTAATACAATAGTTGCTGGACTGGTTAAACTGATTCAGGCATATCTTATCCTGGATCAGCTGATTGGTTGTAATATCTGATAGACTAATGGATAGCATATAGAGAAAGATGAACGGTTCGATTTTTAGGGACAACAAAAACTGTCCAAACTTTTTGTAGGACTTTTGTTGTTGTTGTTGGTGTTGGTGTTGGTGTATGTCATTGTTGATACTGGGTATATTCATGTTATTATTATTATTATTATTATTATATTAATGATTTTTGGCAATAATTTATTTTTTTTCACTACTATATGYATAWATTATGTTTTTTGTACAGTAGTAGTAATTTGTRGTTTAGATGACTTGCACAACAAAWTAATTKRWAAAAATCACATATTTTTATTAAATATTATTAGTTTAAATAATAATAAATATTATTATTATTATCAAGTATCAAATAAATGAAATTTCTTTGTAAATATTTAATTATGATATATTAGATATATATATATATATATATGCTTTTTGAATGATATGTTTTTTTATATAAAAAAAMATTTAGTGATATATATATAWATATATAATAAAATTACTTTATATACAATACAGTATTTTATACAATTTAGGAAGTAAAAAAATATGAACTAAATAATTATTTTTTTATTATAAAAAATATAAACAAAAGTAAAATCAAGTTATTTTTTAAAAAAATATGATTTAACTAATACTAATACTAATGTTTTTAAATATATATTTTTAAAAATAATTTAAATACTAATATATATATATTGAAATATATATACATTGTATATAATCAACAAAAAAAAATCATTATCAAAAAATTTATACAATGTTTAGAAWTATTGCATTATATTATATCATTTMAATTTTGAAATATATACTGAATATTATACAGTATTATTATTATCAATATATGTTATACAAATATATAGTATATAATCTATATAAATATGACATTATTTTATATATATATATATATTGTTTATATAATATTATTTATATATGTATGAATGTGCTTATTATTATATTATCATATGAGATGAGTATATATATAAATATATTAATTATAATTAATTATTAATAGTACAGTACATATGATAATTATTATTATATATATAATACTATTAACTAATACATACAAATACAAACATTAAATGTAATTAATAATAAATATCTCAAACATGAACGTGAAATTTATTTGTTTGCCAATTAAATAAAAAAAAATTATCAATAATTATTAAGAAATATTATTGAATTCAATTATATATATTGTATTAATGTATTAATTAGTTAAAAAAAAATTTTTAAACAAAAACTAATTAGATTTTCATAATAAAAAAAATTATTAGTATATTAAAAAACTTTTTTTCTTCAATTCATAACATTATAAATTAAATTTTTTGTTTATTATTATTATTATTATAAATCTTTATTTACATATCAAAATTAATTAATTAAATAACTATAAAAAAAAAATTAGAGTAGAGTATACAGTAGATAATAATTTTGATATATATAATAAACTTTTTTTATTTTCATTAAATTTTTTTTTTTTTATTATCACTTAGCAAAACTGTAAACTAACAAAAACAAAAAACATTTTACTCATTTTTAAATAAATAATGTCCTAGTAAAAACTTTTTTCAACAAATTTTTTTTATTATTGAAAATAACTAACGTTACACTATAAATATATAGATATATAAACTGGTAAAACTGTCTCACTTTGTGCTAAACCAAATCTATATGAGTTGCACCACAAATACATAGATATATCATAGATTATACTTAATATATACATACAAATAAAAATTAAAACTCCTCCTCTAAGCATTAAACGTTATAATATCGCGCCCATATATATTGCTGTTATACTATAAAGCGTACAGTAATAATGTAAAGATTTATATATAAGATATTATTTTTTAAATTAATTAATTAACTAATAAAATATAAATTATAATTTTTTATTGAAATAGAAATATTTTAAATTTTTAACAATTATTAAAATTTAATTTTATTTATGAATATATTAATTATTATTTAATTATTATATTTTAATTTAATAATTGTTTAAATTTGTATTTAATAAATTATTAATTGTATTAATTATTAATATGGAATATATAAAAAATTATTAATTATACAAAATTATTATAAAAAATATTAATTATAAAAAATATATATATTTAATCTAAAAAAATGTAGATATTATATGACAACTATGACATTAGTTTTATTATTATTATTATTATTATTAGACATTTTAATTAACTTTAATTAACTTTAAAAACTACACGGTTTATGAGCTATCGAAAACTCGGGCCCTTTTTATGTATATTACATATGTTTTTTGTGTAACTATATCTCTATTAAATAATTATATAATTACATAAATGATGTCGCATTTTTTTAAACAACACATGACAATATGGTATCTTTTATAATTACCAAATGTAGCACAAAAAACATAAGTAATATAAATAAAAAAGTACCGAGTTTGTTCTGAAAATGTTTAGTGTATATTATTGCACATAATTGATTGTTATTAATATTGTATTGTATTTATCACAATATTTAGTACTATTTATAACTAATATTTATTATTTAATCACATTTGTTATCACAAATCTAAAAGTACTTAAACAACACGTGGACTTAGTTTGTTTTCAATGCCACACAATGTCATCCTATAATACAGTCAATAGTATATATGCGCGCAATATTATAGCGTCTAATGCTTAAGGGGCGGAGTTTTTACATGGCATAGTTATTATACACACTAAGTTGTATTGTTTGTATATATTAAGTATAATCTATGATATATCTATGTATTTGTGGTGCAACTCATATAGATTTGGTTTAGCACAAAGTGAGACAGTTTTATATACTGTACTGTAACTTATTATACAGTAAATAGAGAGGAAAAATATAGTACTGTTTGCATCTCATATAATCTCTTAAAAAACATTAGTATTTTAGGCTGCACTTTCCAGAATGGGCCGCGCCGGAAGCGGGGGTGGGTTATATAGGTAGATAGGTCTTGATGTGTAGTATACATATGTAAAATATTAGGTGTCGCAAACTAAAGGTTAAAGAGTTATGGCGCTTTTAAATGTCAATTTTATTTATAAAATACTACTTAATAATGTATTCATATGAATATTATATCAAAATCTAACTTAAATAAACCTAACCTAACCTAACCTAACCTAACCTAACCTAACCTAACCTAACCTAACCTAACCTAACCTAACCTAACCTAACCTAACCTAACCTAACCTAACCCAACCTAACCTAACCTAACCCTAACCTAACCTAACCTAACCTAACCTAACCTAACCTAACCTAACCTAACCTAACCTAACCTAACCTAACCTAACCTAACCTAACCTAACCTAACCTAACCTAACCTAACCCTAACCTAACCCTAACCTAACCTAACCTAACCTAACCTAACCTAACCTAACCTAACCTAACCTAACCTAACCTAACCTAACCTAACCTAACCTAACCTAACCTAACCTAACCTAACCTAACCTAACCTAACCTAACCTAACCTAACCTAACCTAACCTAACCTAACCTAACCTAACCTAACCTAACCTTATGTTTGCGACACCTAATATTTTACATATGTTTACTACACATCAAGACCTATCTACCTATACCACCCACCCGCGCCTCCGGAGCGGCCCATTCTGGAAAGTCCTGCCGTATTTTATTATAATAATATATATACCATATATATATACCATATATATATACCATATATATACCATATATATACCATATAATATATATACAATATATACAGTATATACAGTATATACAGTATATACAGTATATACAGTATATACAGTATATATAATATATTAATTAAAAATTTAATTTATACAATGTATAATATAATTTACGGTATATATTGTATTAATAAAATTTTATTACTAAAATGATATGCAATTTTTATATACATTTTTTTGTTAGATTATTTACATTTATTTTCAATTGTATAAATTTCAATTTTTCTAAATTTTTTTTTATAATTTAACATATAATTTTTTTTCAAAAACTAAATATCTAAACTAATAGTAAAAATAAATTATATTTTATATTAATAATAATAATATTTTTTATTTTGTTACTATTTTGTTAATACATTAATTATTAAATTTAGTATTATTAACAATGATAAAATTTTAGGGATACATAATAATAATAATAATAATAATATTAATGTAATATAATACAAACAATATTAAGATCAATTGCAAATATGACCGTGAAAATATTTATTTGATGATAAACAAAAATTTATTTAAACAACAATAACTTGACATTAAAATCTACTCTAGTACACTATATAGTATTATAATAGTTATTGATAAATTTAAAACATCAATAGATAATATTTTATTTTTAGAAAAACAAACAATAATTTTTTTGAAAAACATTTTCCCAAAAAAAAAATTACAAACAATAAATACAAGTATCAATATATTTAAAATAATTTTATATTTTAATTAAATAATAGACTTTTATACTAATGATTTATAATTTATTAATTATAATAACTAATATTAATATATCTATTTCAATGCTAATTAATATTTATTTTTTTAAAATAATTCAAAATTAAAATTTAAATACCTAGTAATATATAATTTATTTATTTTTTAAAAAATTATTAAAATTAAGCTTATTTTTATGAATGTCTATGTAATTTAAGGGGTGGTTGGTTGGGGGTGTGATATTTAAGATTGAAAAGTATGGTTAAAAGTCAGGGACGGGGTGAAGGGGTGGGGGTGGAGGTAATTAGTCAATATATTTAAAACATTGTATACTATGTTATCATTAAATGTCTAAATAACTTGTGAATTATCAATCCATATGATTATAGCTAACGGAACAAACACTAGCGAACCGGCCAAATGAAAGACTAGACTCGGATACCAACCGATTGTCAACTGAAATACTGTATTAAATACCAGTGATTGGACAGCCGGTGCCAATGTTTCAAACAGTGTCGACACACTGAATATCTGGCCGGATTCGGTTGGCTTAATCAGTTTCGATATCAATGAACGGGTAGCTGTAGGCCGAAAACTTGATGCACCGCCTAATAGATACATCAGATAAAATCCCAGACAATTGGGAATAGTACCGATGGCCAGTGCCGACGCCAGTTCCGATACATAGCCTAGAATACCGAGTTTTGTGTCCTGGATAGTCAATTTGGTTGATAATAGCCAACCAATTGGTGCCATAGTGACCGCCACCAAAACAGTGACCAACGATTTGGCAATAGTAAACTGTTTGATGTCCCAGTGATAGACTTTTTCGGCAAACGGAAACACTGGATCCAGTAAGTCGATTGACGACAAATTAATGATAAACATTGACAGATATAACAGCCATAGATGTTGGCGACCGTTGTTTGGACGGCGTTTGAAAGCCGTTGCAAACATTTGCCGAACATTTTCTATGTCAAACAGTTTGTCGATTGAAAATCTCGGACTACTGTCCACTATTGATGGCTGGTTTTCGGCCGCCGCCGCCAACAACTGCCTGTCATTTTGTTGGCCTAAACTTGCATTACTTGGACGAGAAGTACTGGCAGTCATCAATGGCTGTCTTTCATTATCATTCAGGCTGTTAGATAGTATGTTAGCATTTTCATTATCATCAGCAGTAGCGGGTGGTCCTATACTGGTGATGTTTGTCTCATTGATGGCCAACAGTAGCCAAATAAATGCCAAACCAATTGACGCCAAACAGATTATATAGACAGTATTATAATCGTGCAATTGTTTGGCTTCGGTTAGCCGTAAAATCGTTTGATTGGCCATCAGTCGACCGGCCAAATAAATTCCCAATGGATCAGCTATTTAAATGTATTTTTGTGTAATTATTTTACTGTACATTAATTAGCAATAATTTAATTAAATAATTAATTAATTAGTTAGTTAAAACTATTATTATTATTACTATTTATTAACCTAAATCCATAACTATTTCAATCATCATAATTTTGACAAACCGGTGCTCACTGGGCGTATTGTTTGTCAAATAGCTTATACACATTAATAATAGGGTAGACCAGCCACCTAACAGTGCTACCGGCACTTGACATAACAGTATATAATATTCATCTATAATTAATAATAGAGAGGAAAATAAATTAAATTAATATTCAAAAAAAAAAATTTTTTATATAATAAATTCTATATAAAAATATCATAATATTGATTGACAATTATATAATAACAATAATACAGTTTAATCATAAAATTAATTAATTAACAAAATAAAATTGTTGTAGTCGTTCAACAAAATAAATTACTTAATTGAAAAAATATTGAATTAACAAGTAGTCCGCCGTATAGACATAGATGGCCAGCGGTAATCAACGATAGGATAATTTTGCGACCATATATATAGTGGTCGGTCCACGAACCGATAAATAGGACAGTTATGAGTGCCGGTAGTGTACCTATAAGTTTCTGATAGGTACCAAACTGGGCCAAATCGCCTAGTATTTTATTGGTCATCGATGAGGATGATAGGTATAGTCCAGCAGCACCTGTAGTAGCACCTGTACTACTACTACTACTACTAGTGCTGATATTTGAACAGTAGTCCCATGTCTGGTTGTATCTGATCAGACACAACTTATCCTGGATCAGCTGACTGGTAGTTATATTTGATAGACTAATCGATAGTACTGTTAGAAATAGGAATGGCTCTATTTTTAGCATCAAGATAAATTTTCTAGCTGATTGTGTCCAGGACAATGATAAATTTTGTTGGTCACCATAATTATTAGTATAATTGTTATCATTATTGTCCATTTTTTTTGTTTGTTTGTTTGTTTTTGTTGTCTACAAGTTGAACATAACTTATCTATTTTTAATAGCAATTGACTACATGTTTATTATTATTATTATTATAGCAAACTAATCCCAAAGTAATTATTAATAGATATTGAAAATTTTTAAAAAAAATTATTGCAAACTAATTGTTTTAGCTATATTACAATGATTATTATTTTATTTTTTTTATTAAAAAAATATGCTTAGTTAATAAACTTATATTTTTTTTATATATATTTATACTGTATCAGGGTTTATAAGCAAGATTATTTTATAGATTTATTATAAGGTGAATGGTAAATGGTACAGGGTAATGTAAATTTTTGTTGTTGTATTTTTAAAAATAAATTTTTTATAAAAAAAATCAAAGTGAAATATTGCAGTATGCTTATTTTATCAAAATATATATAAATTTGGATAAAACTATAGCAATTAAACCAACAAATAGTTATCCGCCAAACCATTTATGCTATGATTGGCACAATTGGTCCAAACGTGTCCAACCATTTGATGGCCAACCATCAGCCAGTGACGGCTATTTAGTACCGAATATTGTCCACTACATAGTGTTTGTACAGCGAGAGATACAGTTTGTCCACTTTTTATCTATACTATCGGTACTTAAGAACTCCCGACCGGACACGATTCATTCAATACATTCATTGCGATTGTAGTCAATTGTCGGGTAAGTTTTGGCAACGATTGGTACGATTGGCCCGATTAGTCAATACACGACTACATGTACGACCAGTTCAGATGCCGACAGAAATATTTGGTCAACCATTGAGCAAAAGATTCGGCAAATGGCACGCATCGGATATTGTCCGCAATCGTATACTTCGGCAGTTTGGCGGCACTTATTTGGATCGGGATGTCTATGTTGTCAAAAGTTTGGATCCGTTTCGCAACTATGAACTAACACTTGATTATGAAATACGTAACAAAAGTCTTGAAACTGAATACAAAGTGTTGGGCACACAGACACTGATTGGCCACCGAAAGGCCCGATTCCTGGATCTATGGCTATTAAGTTACTGTGACTATCGACCGGACGAATGGTATTATAATGCCGGCGAATTGCCGACCACCGAAATATTGGCCAAACGACCAGATTTGGTCAATGGACTGAACGGTGAGTTTGCTGCCGAAGGTCGCCGCGCGTGTCCACTACTTTATCATCGGTATTATCGCGGATGGCGTCAAAAATACTATACAACACATTTGAATATACGCGGCGATCACTTTCTGCAGTATGACTGGTGTTTTGATGAAACATTTTTGCCCGCAATTACCCGATTTGACGAATACATTGTACGCCAATTGAACACAACGTTCGGCGAAATGGCCAGAGATGTGTTGGACTATGAAATATCTGTTAATTAATTAATTAATTTAAAATAAAATATTTGTAAAAACAATAAACTAATTATTAGTAACGGTAATGGTTTTATTGTAAATTAGGTTGGTCCAGTTAACACGGTCCGAATAACCGGATACCGTTAATATATAAAATAATGGATATCACTGCAAAGATAATGAGCGTAATTTATAGAAGGGTAACTTATAGGACACTTTACGGGTGTGACGTAATCATTGGGAGACGCTCTCGGGGCTCGCTGGCCACTGGTCAATGCTTATAGTCTTTCGAAAGCCTATATCGGATCTCACGGGAAGTTCTCTGTATTAACAGAACAAAATTTCCTGGTTAATACACTTAGGCTGTTGTATGTAAAAATAGTAGAAGTTATTTGTTTCCTGTGTAGGCCCACAACTTAACTTTAACTTAACTTATTTGCGATAATCATTAGTAGGACTGTTTTCTGGTATATACAACTGTATATACAACTTGTATATACTTGTATATACTTGTATATACTTGTATATACTTGTATATACTTGTATATACTTGTATATACTTGTATATACTTGTATATACTTGTATATACTTGTATATACAACAGGTAGATATACGTATCTACACTTCGAAGCATATATGCAGAGCATATTATTTATGTCAAATCTGACCTCACTCTTACCCGTTTTTTCCCGTCAGATTTGACATAAATAATACTCTATTATTCCATTCATTTAGTCGTTTTTAAACATTCTAAAACACTCTATTAATGAACATTATGGAGCATCAGAGTGAGGTCAGAAGCGGGTAAGAGTGAGGTCAGATTTGACATAAATAAGACTCTATTATTCCATTCATTTAGCCGTTTATAAACATTCTAAATCACGCTATTAATGTAACATTATGGAGCATCAGAGTGAGGTCAGAAGCGGGTAAGAWTGTGGTCAGATTTGACCTAAATAATACATCATTATGGATCGAATTAAGACGTTTATAAGCATTCTTAATCACTCTATTAATGTAACTTTAAGGRGCATCAGAGTGAGGTCAGATGCGGGTAAGATTGTGGTCAGATTTGACCTAAATAATACATCATTATGGATCGAATTAAGACGTTTATAACATTCTAAATCACTCTCTTTATGAATCATTATGGAGCATCAGAGTGAGGTCAGAAGCGGGTAAGATTGTGGTCAGATTTGACMTAAATAATACTCTATTATTCCATTCATTTAGCCGTTTATAAACATTCTAAATCACGCTATTAATGTAACATTATGGAGCATCAGAGTGAGGTCAGAAGCGGGTAAGAGTGAGGTCAGATTTGACMTAAATAATACTCTATTATTCCATTCATTTAGCCGTTTATAAACATTCTAAATCACGCTATTAATGTAACATTATGGAGCATCAGAGTGAGGTCAGATTTGACMTAAATAATACTCTATTATTCCATTCATTTAGCCGTTTATAAACATTCTAAATCACGCTATTAATGTAACATTATGGAGCATCAGAGTGAGGTCAGAAGCGGGTAAGAGTGAGGTCAGATTTGACCTAAATAATACTCTATTATTCCATTCATTTAGCCGTTTATAAACATTCTAAATCACGCTATTAATGTAACATTATGGAGCATCAGAGTGAGGTCAGAAGCGGGTAAGAGTGAGGTCAGATTTGACATAAATAATACTCTATTATTCCATTCATTTAGCCGTTTATAAACATTCTAAATCACGCTATTAATATAACATTATGGAGCATCAGAGAGAGGTCAGAAGCGGGAAAGATTGTGGTCAGATTTGACCTAAATAATACATCATTATGGATCGAATTAAGACGTTTATAAGCATTCTTAATCACTCTATTTATGTAACTTTAAGGAGCATCAGAGTGAGGTCAGAAGCGGGTAAGAGTGAGGTCAGATTTGACATAAATAATACTCTATTATTCCATTCATTTAGTCGTTTTTAAACATTCTAAAACACTCTATTAATGTAACATTATGGAGCATCAGAGTGAGGTCAGAAGCGGGTAAGAGTGAGGTCAGATTTGACATAAATAATACATCATTATGGATCGAATTAAGACGTTTATAAGCATTCTTAATCACTCTATTAATGTAACTTAAGGAGCATCAGAGTGAGGTCAGAAGCGGGTAAGAGTGAGGTCAGATTTGACATAAATAATACTCTATTATTCCATTCATTTAGCCGTTTATAAACATTCTAAATCACGCTATTAATATAACATTATGGAGCATCAGAGAGAGGTCAGAAGCGGGTAAGAGTGAGGTCAGATTTGACCTAAATAATACATCATTATGGATCGAATTAAGACGTTTATAAGCATTCTTAATCACTCTATTAATGTAACTTAAGGAGCAKCAGAGTGAGGTCAGAAGCGGGTAAGAGTGAGGTCAGATTTGACATAAATAAGACTCTATTATTCCATTCATTTAGCCGTTTATAAACATTCTAAATCACGCTATTAATGTAACATTATGGAGCATCAGAGTGAGGTCAGAAGCGGGTAAGAGTGAGGTCAGATTTGACATAAATAAGACTCTATTATTCCATTCATTTAGCCGTTTATAAACATTCTAAATCACGCTATTAAGATTGTAACAGTATTTGGTACGTAATAGCTGAATCATTAGATTAAAGACTTATTTAGTAAGGTATGTAAACCGATGTCCCGTCCTACACCCGTATTTGGACCGACGACAGGGTTGATGCGCACAACTCGGTTGTCGGTCTGGTATAATTAGGTGGGGAGTCGTTGAGGACGCAGAGCAGAAGCAGAAGTACAGTAAACACAGTCAGTTGTTATGTAACAATCGGTTACAACCGTTACCCAACACTTTGCTGATTATAATTGTTGTAAAATTACTATTAATTGTGTTAAAAATAATATTACAATTATGAGTGAGTGCGACTAATTAATTAACAACTAGCCAGCGATCAGCAGTCGGTTGGACGACCGGGAGCCCGCACCAGGACCACCGCCCACCCACAGGAGCGAAGCAGATTTTCATTCAAGTAGCCAACAATGTCTGGCCAGCGGAAAGCGAGATTGCCGACACCGTTGACTATTTTATCAGAACTCGGGATGAAAATGCCCAATAGACCCACATTCGACTTTTTCCAACTACAGGTAAGTCCAAGAAAGAAAAAACGCAAATATAAAATGGCCTAACAATTAATTCATAAACCACAGTAAGTAACTTAATTTTGTTTTGTTTCGTTATAAATGTTTTTTTTGTCTGTTAAAATTATTTATTTTATAAAAATAATAATTTTTTTTATTATACTTAAGAAGTCTATTTTAAGGTAGTGTCCAGTAGGTGGACAAAATGTTTACTATTTGAGGCCATGTCCTGAATGGCCATATTTTAATTACAATTTAATGAAATTTTGATTATTTATGAAATAATAATTGTCAAAATATGGCATACTTAATGAAATAGTTGACTAAGTATTGATTAGTTTATTATTAATTTAATTTTATAAGAAAAAAAATATAAATTTTTCTCAAATGACATGGATGTGCTGGTGGTCACTGTCATTATAATTGAGCTCTTTTGCAATTGTTTTGCCAACCAATTATCTAGTTTTATGTGTATAGCGGTAATAACAATGATTAAGCTGAGCGGTAACGGTACTAACCATTTGTATCAAAAGGTATTGTTTTATCTAAAGGCATATTTGTTGCAAATATTGATTCAGTCAATATAAGCGATGATAGAAAAGCTTTACCATTGATAACCAATGAATTCGATATATGTCATGTTTAAGGCCGAGTGTCTGTGCTCGCGCTATCCATTTGACAAAGTATTTCTTATAGACTGAGAAATAACTTCATATAAAGACATAAGATATGACTTAAGGCTATTGATTTCACTACTGATTAAGTCTTTTAGCGTACATTCAATTAATGAATCATTGTCGGCATTGCCTGACAAACTATGTTATAATTTTTCAACCATAGAACAGATGTATATCTTATTGTCATCTCTGGTGAATGTGTCGGTCGAGTCATTTGAAGGTTTAGAAACAAGTCTTAAGACATTAAGTTTAGTAAATAGTAAACTGAAAAAGAATTCCCAAAGACAGCGCTTTCTACACTTAGGGTTTGACAGCTTTAGACTTGGGATCAAATAAGATTGAAGAAGTAGATGCATATGCTTTCTATGGGTTCCCTCTGGTCATGAAAAGACATTAATAGAGTTGAAATTGACTAACAACTTGATAGACTGCATCATCTTTCAAGCCATCCGTCGCCTCAAAGCACTCGTATCGTTAAAACTGCAATCAAACCGAATAACTGAATTATCGGGCGACGGGTCCACCCGATTGTTATCCCTTAGGTGTCCAGACTACACTTTAACCGAATCAAGCGTTTGGATTCCCTATCATTTAAAACTACTCCTAAATTAGTTAGCCTTTCAGTAGCTAACTATAGATTAAATGATTTAAGCGACTCATCTATTTTCGGACGTCTCTTGGATTTAGAGACTCTAGACTTAAGTTTCAATGAATTAACTGGTATTGACTTGAATAACATGAAAGCCTTACAAAGTATAGACTTAAGAAATAATGAATTAAAATCAATAGTATTACTAAATATAATATTAATAGCTTTTGTATCACATAATAAATTGTTAAAATTTGCCAAAAAAAAAAAWATATAAATATACTTATAGGTTCTTTTTAACAGTTATTTAAATAATATTTTTATTTAAATAACTTTTGCAGCTAATTTGCAGTATTTTGTTTAAAATTTAAAATCTATTTAAAAACATTTTATTTATGTATTTTCAGTGCAGTAATTTTTTTTAATAAAACATTTTTTTACTAACAGAAAATAAATAAATAACATTTTTACTAACTTTGCATAAGCAAACTACTGCTCGTATGCTAACTCAGATACGAAAATAGAGTTCACAAAAACATCAGTAAACCACAAAAAAAATTACATTTAAAAATTTTTTAACAAATAAAAATAAATTTAACAAAAATCTTTAAGC